TTTAGATAGCAAGGAGTTTATTAAACTTCACCGAAACAATCTGCAAATTTCATTAAAATTTAATAAACTAGCATCTTGTCCTTATTTTTAGTTAGCACATACCTTAAACACTTAAAGCTTAAACACTAATGATAGTTATATAAGAGCAGATGCAGGCTGGTGCAATAAGCTGTACTTTTACGTCCAAATGGATGCACGATCTGATAATCGGTGACTAGTCGACTATCAAAATAATCGTTTGTGGCAGCCCTAATCCAAATACAACTGAAACGCTGCAGTGGGACCTTAAGAGAGCTGTGAATGTGAATGCCCTCAAACCTCAGTGAACTGAAGCAACACTTGTCATGCAAATCAGTTCAGTTTTGTTTATACAGCGCCAAATCTAAACAGCAGGTGCTTCAAGGCACTTTATAATGTAAGGTAAAGATCCTACAATAATAGAGATAAAACTCAAATATAATCAAATAACCCCCTTTAAGCAATCACTAGGAGACTGTGGGAGGGAAAAACTCCCCTTTAACAGGAAGAAACCTCCAGCAGAACCAGGCTCAGGGAGGTGCAGCCATCTGCTGCGCCCGGTTGGGGAAAGACGGGGCAGAAAACACACTCCTTTAACTTATTGCTGCTAAATGTGGTTCTGAATTGCTCAGGATTTTCTATGAGTCTGTTGTGGCCAGTGCGATCCTCTATGCTGTTGCATGCTGGGGGAGCAGGCTGAGGGTAGCAGATGCCAACAGACTCGATAAACTGATTCGTAAGGCCAGTAATGTTGTGGGGATGGAACTGGACTCCCTCAAGGTGGTGTCGGAGAGGCGGATGTTGTCCAAGATAAAGACAATGTTGGATAACACCTCCCACCCACTCCATGACATGCTGGTCAGTCACAGGAGCACGTTCAGTGAAAGACAGAGTACCGAAAAGCACCACTGAACGACACAGGAAATCATTCCTGCCTGTGGCCATCTCCCTGTACAACGCATCCACTTAACACACTGTTTACTGCAACAGCTACACCCTTTTTGCACATGTTCTTTTTCAGCTATTTATTAATAAGTGACTTTTATGTATATGCCTGTATCAATAAAGTATTCTGATTCTGAATCATGGGGTCTACTTCTGCTTCTGCATTTTAGCTCAGTTTTTTGTCAAATAAACAATGACACACTGTAATATGTCAAGTGCTGTTTGTATTTACTTAATTTTAAGATCTGATGAGGACGAGACAGGTTATTGTGATGTCCTGATACAGAAAATCTGACAAAGGCTTCATTTACTGTTTTTACTGTGTCTCCATGATCTGCCTGACATTAAGCATTTCTTCACTCTGCTTTTTCTTGGTTACTTTAACAGATATGAGCTAAAATAAACCCTCTTTAGCAGTGTTAAATAAATGTGTAAATCCTCTCCAGTGAGAAGTTGTGCTTGTGTGCGTAACAGCAGCTGGTGAGAGTTCACAGGCCATGTTCATGTGTCCAGAGCGTGATCTTGCTTGAAATGGATTCACTGCTGGCGTCGCTGCCGTCCGACACAGGCCCGATACTCAGGCATTTTTACGCTTTATTAGATTTTAGTAGTTAAACATGTGACCATTTGGCTGAAATCTGAGCCTGCTGAAACAAACTTACCTTTTCCTGAGCATACTGTACCACACCACGTGATCTAAATCCTCCTGCTGGGGTACAGCGTGTTTCTAGATTAAAGTTGAGATGCCACAGAGGAGTTTATGAAACACTGTGCTCCTCCTCTGTGACATTGCTTAATAATAGTTGATGTATGAGGTCAGACATGTGTCTCCATTCACAGAAGTCGGCGCTGAAGTCCCCTTTTCAGCACTTGCAACCTTTGCCAACTTTAATCCAAGGCTAATGATTAACAAAGAAAACCAAGTAGACAAAACGATGGACGGCAAGAGTGCATCCTTTCAAAAATGCTTTATTTATCTACTATATCACTATAAATATACCAATGCTGAACAAGGAAACGGGGCCTTCTGATAGAAAAGAGTCTGCATAGGTCTACAAAGGGCACATGTTGGCAATAAAGGCACACACTACGAAGAGTTAAAGATGCTAAACCCGAACATCTAAGTTAAACCAGGCACGCGCAGCTCCATACTGACACAGGAAGATCGTCCTGCTGCCGCTGCTGCATTGTGGGTGAAATGCAGGTGATGGAAAGTAAAGCAGGTGCTGCTGTGAGTGGAAGGGAGAATGCAGTTTTCTGTTGTTAAAACCACGTGAAATTTTGGTGAAGGTTAAATCATTGCCCCATCCACCCATCATTAGATCTTTTAATTATTTAGCCAAAAAAAGTTGCAACACATTGAGCCGGAGGCGCCAATGGGGCGTAACGCCTCGGCGGGCCAGGTTTAACCTTTGATATCGATAACGGGGAGAACTTGGCGTTCCCACTCTAAACACCGCGTCCAGTTCCAAATAGCAAACACAACGTTACACCTAACAAAAGCACAATAACCTCCAATGTTTAACAAACTATTGGACACTTTGGGGGAAAAAAAGAATCTACTTTTGTTAGTCTGACTTTTATACCTAAACAAGGTGTAAATAAAGAAAACAAATAGGTTTTACAATATATTATGCCTTTTCTTCTCACTTCATAAACAACACACGTAATGCATATATTAAATATATCCCGACTTATTGTCATCGTACAAGATCATAATAAGAGCCGTTAACAGCAGTTTGTTTTCTACATTAAATCCAGTTTCAAAGGAGAGAGAGAAGCAGTAAAATGCAGAATACAGAGTGAGATTACACAACTATGGACTAGTTAAGCAGTCTTTTCACTCACACTCTTGGGCCTAAACTTAAAAGCCAGGGAGCCCTCATATTAGCAAATAAAATACCATCGAATGCGGTGAAGGAGAATAATAATAATACAAAAGAAAAAAGAGCTGGTTTACAAATCAAAGGACACTCAAATGTTTGGCATTTTTCATAAAGGATGGCTCTTGTGGAGTGTGACTTCATGATCAGCAGCTGTTTGAATTCGAGTGTTACAATACTTGCATATTCCAGTGGGATGTATTGCTCCCAGTTATTCCCAGTCCACAAGTACACTTGTGTAGATGCACTGCAGAGTTTTCAAAGCGCCCGCTGAGCATTGAGGAGCTGCAGGCTTTATATGAGAAGAAGCACAAACTTTGCTCCAGTTCACACGTTTCATATCTCTTCATCTGAAAGTGGCAACTTCTCGCCTTTTATAAATACATTTACGTGCACCTCGGAAGAGGATGGAGGCAACCTTGGCACATCTGGCTACAAAAGCTGAAACCTCAATACAGTAATACCACAAATCTGCATCATGGGATATACAAATTCTTCTTTGTGCCAAAACACGCGGGCTTGGTTTTCTTACAAAAAGGCACAGTGAAAAGCAGGCAGTTGCATAAACAGCGTGTAGGTGTAAGGCACTGTAGTCAGGAGTCTTTCTAAAGTCCTCAGACTGAAGTGGATGTTAAGGTTTTTGGTCAGCACTGGCAAAAAGTACGAGCTGTTCAAGTGATAGAGTGCTCCAGTCCAGATAGAAAAATGTCTCTCATTTCTGTCCGTAGTTGTTCACAATTAAAAACATCAGAAAAAAACATAACTGAGTAAGAACAAAAAACAGCTAACATCTATTCAGTCTTAATCCCCTATTACCGCCGTTTCTTTAAATGTGGAACATTTTCCATGTCAGCTGAACATCATTCAAAAAGCTTTCCAGTTTTCTTTCTTAATTATTTGTTCCCAACAGGAATCTGTCAAAATAACAAATATTTAGCAGGCAACATTTCTTCAAAGAAAACCAACAAATGTGTTTCAATGTATCAAAGAGGAGACAGAGAAACAACCTTGCAAAGCAAAAAAAAGAGCAAAAATGAGCTAATTATAGGTAAATAAATGCAACCTAGAAAACCTAGAACCTTCATGTAAAACAACCAAAAACACAATAAAAACTACAATAACCAAAAAGTACCAAACAGGCGTGTTCAAAGCATTCAACCAGCATGGACGGACAGCATCACCTACAGCATGTAAAATTGGCTAAAATACTATATAATGATGGGGGGAAAAAAGGCATTAGTATATCTGAAGACAGCAGTCTTCAGCGGTATTTATCAGTAGTTCCTGTTGTAGTTTTTCTTCCTTACGATTAACTCGTCTCTCTTTTTTATTGTTACTCTGAAAATAGTTTCAAATCTAGAACAAATACCACGGCAACATGGAAAGAGAGAGCGACAAAGAATAGACACCTTAAATATATATCTTCTCTTCATAAATACTTGAACGTACCTTCGGTGTTCCCGTGGTGGGATTCGGAGAGAAACAAAAAAGGCAGAGGGCTGTTATTGGGAGTTGTCGTTTGTTACATTTGTTACATTATTCAGTAGAAAACAGTGATGCTGCCTAATTAGAAACACTATGTTCACCTTGGGTTGAGGACATACCGAGGCCGATAGGAGACGTCAGGCTGTTTGTCACTGTGTGTGCTTTTAATATTTGCTACAAATTCCTTTCGAGCTCAAGTTTGAGATGTTTCTACGTGATGGGACAGACAATGCTGAGATGTAGTTCAGTCACAGGCAGGATCTGAGCCTCTTAATCAGTATGTCTGGTAGACATCATGGATGGGCAGCTGGAAGGCTGTGGCGGGGAAGGCCTGGGGCACCGCGTAGCCGGCGTAACCTCCGTATGCTGCAGCCGCCACGGCTGCGTTTTTCTGCAGAGCTGCCAGAGCTGCTGTGTTGGCAGTGTAGTTTGTGATGGGGACATACCCAGGTCCATACAGACCACCAGCTGCTGGGATGCGCTGTACGTTGTGGGCCATGGCATAGACTGGAGTGATTGGACGGCCCTGCGTAGGGAAAGAAAGTGAATTAGAAAAAGGAGATTTTTAAAGCGTGCCCACAATGCCTGTATTTAATTTACATAAGAAGGGTGGCCATAGCGTCCTTTTACATAGAATTTAAGCCAGTGTGACTTAAACCTGAATTCCTTCTATTGACCAGAAGGGGGAAGCAACTCTGCACAAAGAAATGCAAAAGTTTATGGAAACATGACCCCAATACTCACTTGATCCATGACCTCAGTAAACACTTTGCTGATAGGTTTATGGTCTTAATGACTACTTTCAAGTCTTACTGAATGCAGCATGATGTTTATTTTGTTAAGTATGGTCCCCATTAGAGCCGTAAAGAATAATAAAGCACAGTTTTGTTTTGTTTTGTTTTTTTTGGGGGGGGGCTTATGTAGCAATGGGGCAGGCTGCTACAGAATGAGTGCGGACCATCTCTTTCTCAGTCAGACCAGCCCATCCCTAATCACAACTGGTTTCAAAACAGCCAGATAGAGCCGTAAAAATCTCAAGTCACGGCTTCACAGTCGCTAAGTTAATCTTTTCTTTAAGGTCTGAATCACACATGGGCTAAGTATGGGCCCTGGGCTTCAACCTGGGCCCCAGCGTCCTTAAAGGGAAACTAAAGACTCCCCAGCCTCCTGTCAATAAATGAAATAAAAGCATTGCTATTGGTGCTTAACGTGAATGATTATAATAAGTCTCTACTGCACCTTCCCTCTACAGCTCCACAGGATAATAGCTCACACATCTGGATGCCCAGTGAAAGATCTCCAGTTTGATTCCAGGGAGAGACATAAATCCTTTTGGGGTTGCAATAGAGGGCATCCGTTATAACAATCTGTCTAACACAGTGTGTTTTGGCAGGTGAGGGAACCTTGAGACGTGGTTATAGAGGTGCAGCGTGGGGAAAAGAACTCCTTAAGAAATAATCCACATAATAACTTGCTTTGCAAGGCTGCGATCAGCTGACCTGTGCTGCTACTCTATTGTTCACTGCTCTTTGTGGATTTGGCCAGCCAAATTCAGCAAGATATAATGAGATGTTTCATGAGCTGTATGGTTCATTTTCAAACCCCCAGACACCATAAAATGAGTAAAAAGAGAGTGAATCTAGTCAGCATCATCACGTTAAGTATCAGTTGATGTGTGGTGTAACTTAACGTCACAAAACTGCAAACTCACCAGTTTAGCCTGAACTAATGTCTACCAACCAGCTCAGTAGACCTAAAGTTTTCATGCAAAGTTTGAATAAGGGAATTTGTATACTTCAAGTATGAGTTCAGATCATGCATCGATCTCAAAAATGATTGAAAAACTTTGGAAAATAATCTCTCATCGTCTTTCTTACATCTTTCTCCGTTTCCCAGTCCTGCACATTAATGTTTGCTTCTCTTCCTCTCCCTCTCTTAGCTCACACACACATTTAGGAACAAACTGTGCAGAAACAGCTGTTCTGTTCTGAGATATTTGTCAAGCTGCTTGAAAAGTTGACCATGAAGTTACCCTCCTATTTAAAAAAACATCACTCAGTTTATGCTTGCTCTTCTTCTGTAGTGGTATGCAGGTGCTGAATTACAGCCACTGCAACTTTACATGGTAAATGGCCTGTATTTGTATTGCACTTTACTAGTCCCTAAGGACCCCAAAGAGCTTTACACATCCAGTCATCCACCCATTCACACACTGGTGATGGCAAGCTACATTGTAGCCACAGCCAGCCGGGGCTCGAACCGGCAACCTTCCGATTACAAGGCGACCTCTCAACTCTTGAGCCACGATCGCCCCTGCCATCTGCACCATGAACGCATCACAGGGATGAGAAGAAAAAAAAGGATATGATGAGGGTGTAAGTGGGCTGTTGGATGTCATAGCTTTCTTATTACTGAGAAAGTATATCCGTAGTGTTACCAGGAGCAACGGCAGCCACACAAATCTAAAAAATTGAATTAATATAACCGTAATATGCACTGACCTGCCAATCCCACTAAATTGCTCATTATCTGAATGTCATTCCGACTCACTTTGACCCCGTGAATAATACCCACCTGGAAGGGTGGAGGGGTAGAGACCGCAGGTAGGACGGTGGCAGCAGCAGCAGCAGCAGCAGCAGTAGCAGCAGCAGCAGCGGGGGAGTGTTCGGGGTGCTGCATGGCCAGAGGGTTGATAAGATGCTCCACTGTGTGCACCTTCCCCTCCTCCATCAGCTTGGCTGCAGGAGTGGCGCTGAACACTGGGTACTGCCCACCCAGAGTCTGTAATGCCACTGCACATAGAGAGACACACAAATGAGAGCTTGGATAACAGACTGGAGACAACAGAGCATCATCCAAATATTAACACTACTCAGGAAATAACAGATAAGCGCACACATGCATCCAATCATTTATAGAGATAAAACACTACAGAGGCGAAGAGAGAACAGCACAAACAGGGTGAAGGGTTCAATTTCAGCAAGAAGTGGAAATAAATAAGTTACACAAATTGGCGTTGTGGTGTGATTCAGCTTATGATGGTGCTCAGCTGGGGATTAACCCTAGCACTTCAACACACACACACAGAGCAAACACAACATCAGTCATTGTTTCAGATCCACAAAAGTCTTTTCAATCCTGTGATTCCACACAGACCGGCACCGACACTGAGCTGCAGATTGAGGTCAAATCCTTAAACAAGGAAACATCAGTAACGTCGACTCTACTGAACGGATCTCTGATCACCAAACACACGACACTGACACACACATGCAGTAAATGGTTAGTAAGGTTTAATCAATATGTTGATAAAACAATTAGGCTTAGTAGCTTTAGTCGAATAATTTGAAGGCTGAAGAATAATTCCAGTGTTTTAAATTTTCCATATCAACATCTTTTAAAAAAATCACTTCAGTTTCTATCTTTCATTCTTGAAAAAAGAAACGTACAGGATTTAGATGATCCACCAACATTAAAATAAACTCAGTTTCATTCCCCCCTGCCTGCTTTCAGGAAATAAGGCAGAATGAAAGAAATTGAATTTTTCCACCAGGAAAATGATCCTTTGAAAACAAGACACTTACAACGTTTCTCTCTTAGCTGGGAGAGCAGTTGCTGTAGATGTAGATGTGCTACAACTCTTCATAACACTGGAATCATCCTTCAAGTGATCAGAATAGAGTGGACACAACAGTCTTTAGTTTGTGCTTTTACATTTGCATTTCAGCTCCGATTATGGCTTAAACTGTCACAACGCTCACAAAGCTACAGATAAGACTCAGTGTGACTAGAGAAAAAGCTACCTTCGTTATGTTCGAGCACTTATTAAAATAGAAAGACAAAAAAAGATCATCCATCTGTCAAGTCAAAGTTGGAGACGACTGCATATAAACTGCCTCGAAAAAACTACAACCGTATAAAAAGCTATGTATGATATGGCTGCTGACTAAACCTCTGCACTCCAGAGATTTGGTAACACTTTATTATTCTTATTGATGATTATTATAAAGAAGTGTAGCTATGGTTAATTGATTTTTAGTTAGCTAATAGTTGCTGCTAAAGAAATACATAGCAATGTTAAACAGTGGTTCTACAGTGTAGGGTTTATATTTTGACCTAACAAGTGACTGATCCCTGCTTCGATTCTGGGATGTGATGCAAATCTCTAGAATTGCATCAAGACGGGCATCTGGCTTAAAAATGTACAGAATCTAAACCTGGGGAGCTACCTGCTGTGATGACACCCTACCAAAAAGAAAGCACCCAAAAGCAGGATTGACAGGTTTACAATAACCCTGCAGATAATGCTCACAGATTATGGATAGGTAGGTATTTTTACTGTGAATAGTACCATTTGTACATAACACAAAATACTCTTTTATAGGGATTTATTAATTCTGCTTTTTTTGTACTTTTGAGTTTTTGTTTACTTTCTAATATTTCTCCACTTCACGTTTTCTTTTTCACTCTTGTGCTGCTGTAACAAGTGAATTTCCCCAGTGTGTGTTTAATAAAGTCGATCTCTATCTGAAGGAGGGGCGGTGGCGTAATTCACGAGCTCGTGAAACCTTGTCCGGTTTCTCTCACTGCCTAGTTTGTCTTTAATTTGTAGTTTTTTAAATTGTTTCTATTATAAAAACTGCATAAATTGTAATTTTAGGCCTATTAATATTTTGGAAACATTAATGCTTCTTATTTTATTGCTTGTTAGCAGGGGGTTGCATGTTTTCTCATGTTTCTCATGTTCATGGAGACACACCATTGGTGTGAACCATTTCTCGTAAATATCAGCTTAAATGGGCTCCAACTGTCAGCATAAAGTGTTACCTGAAGACGCTCGTAACGGTGTTTTAAAATCACCCTGTGGTGTGTCTGAAACAACCCTTACAGTCATGGCTTTTGTGTTTTAGGTTTCAGTTCACCGCTCATTTAAACAAGCACTGATCAGCACAGTTTGAACCTGAATAACCAGAAAGACAAATTTCTGTTGTGTAAGGAAAAGGAAAGAATGAGGAATGAAGTATAGCCGTTACCTTCTGGTCATGTTGGAAAGGACTGACTACAATGTTGTTATTCTTTACTGTAAATGAAAGAAAGGCCGTCCTTTTGCGCATGACCGTCCAGAAATGACTAGAAAGCTGATTCACAAAAAATGCTCCTCAAATCACACAGGAGAAAAAACTGCGGGCTGGAAGATTTAGTAAAAGCCTTTTTGAGATGGGCAAGAATAGGTCGGGGTTTGTCTATCTCACTGACTTGTGCCATGTTTGATGCCAACTGGGTTGACGGAAGCAGCGAGCTCCAGACTGGGCATCAGCTCATAGGACTTTTCAGGCTGCTTGGTCTTGCCCTCGTGGTAGCGGCTGTAGATGCCACGACCGGCAGAGTAACCTCCGAGGTACGACCCCCGTGGCCCAGGGGTACGATTACCTGCAGTAGCACGACCACGACCTCTCACAGTACCTGCTTAAAATACAATTAAGGGGATATGATGACAGGGGTTGTGGTTTAGGGCAGCAGGGGCAATTTTGGCAAGATGAGTTTTGAAAGTTTCTCAAGACATCAGAACTTGCACACGACTAATTTAACTCGTTTTTTAGCTAATATTCTGCACATAGAGAAATATTGCTACTGAATTTTTGCTCCGACTTGGAGGTGTTTGGGTTTAGTGTGGCCTCTGTCTCTTATATTAGGTCTATTATGTAACTCCATAATATTGTCGACTTGTATTCCAAGAGTTTTGCCACTTGGTGGTGAGCTCTCTAATAACCCAGCATGAAATGGGAGGTGACAGCACAGCAGGAAAAAGATGGTGTTAGAAAATGTATAGTTTGTCACATGGCAAGAAGGCTCATTGTTCATCAGAGTAACAAGTAGGAATAAGGATGTGAGAGATTACCATTGTTCTGTATCATTGGGGATCCTTTGGAGAGAAAACCAAAACACAATGATTGCTCAAAGTTAGATTTTCCTGCTATCACCCAAGACCATATTTAAAATCAATCATTAAAGGTGATGGGATTAGCATTCATTGATCCATCAGCTGGTTTTGTATTTCCCTTTTACAACACCAGTTCCAAAAGAAAGTTGGGACGCTGTGTGAAATGTAAATTAAAACAGAAGGCAAAGATATGCAAATCTCACAAACACGTTTTATTCAAAGCATAGAACAAAGAAAATGTACGAAAACTTCAAACTAAGGAAATGTATTTAAAGAAAGAATCTGATCACGTTGAATTTAATGGCAGCATCGCTTCTCAAAAAGTTGTGACAGGCCCATGTTCACCACTGTAGTATCCATTACGCTCTGAACAACACTCCGTAAACTTCTGGGAACTGAAAAAGACCTGAGAATTTCGATTCCCCTAACCACAGAACAGTTTTCTGTTCTGTCTCAATCCATTTTTAAATGAGCCTTAATCCAACAACAATTCACATAAGGCTTTAACCTGAATTTGTAGATGGTGCATTGAACTGTGTTCACAGACTGTGATTTCTGGAAGACTTCCTGAGCACATGCAGTGATTTCCATGACAGAATAACGCCTGTAGCGCCGCCGGAGGGCCCAAAGATCACGCATTCATTCAAAATGAGCTAATTTTTGTCTTTAAAGAAAAAGGTCTTAGTTAAACATTTGATATGCTTCTTCCAATTTCTTCCATTGTGACTAAAATATGGGTTTGTCAGATTTGTAAATCATTGCGTTCTTTTTTTTATTCACATTTTACACAGTGTCCCAACTTGTTTGGAATCGTGGTTGTAACATAAAAGTGATTTTAAGCCACAAACCCTCATCAAGTTAAAGATTTCTTTAAAATTTCTCATCAAATGAATCTTTAAATGATCATATTGTCCTTTTGAACATCTGAAAATTTCTTACAGTAAATACTGTTTTCATATCATGAGATGCTAAAATGTTTTGGAGCTTTGGCTCCAACCAAGAGGGTTTTTCATGAAACACTGAATTTTGCAACAGATTATTACTGATTGAAAAAAAAATCATTCTAACCTTTGACGAAGTACTCTCTGTTGGGTCCAATGAGGGTGTTGTAAGGATAACCATAGTATGCCAATGTGTAGGGATCACACTGATAAACGTAGTTCTGCTGAGTAGCCTCTGAAGTGGCAGGAGCTCCCCCCTTTGAAGCCTTCTGGCGTGAGTACTGCTCTTTATCGACAGGTTTGGCGAGTGTCACCTCGATGCAGGACCCTTCTACCTCTGTGCCGTTGAGGTTGTCCATAGCCAACACAGCATCATCCCGGGAGGTAAAGTGGACAAAGGCGTAGTCACGGATTTTCTTTACACGCTCTACACATCCAGGGTTAAACTGGCTGAAAATCTAAAGACAAAGGATGGGAGAAATTAAAATCGTGTCAGAAATGTTTTGCATGCTCGAACCCAAATAGCCAGTCGGTCCTCACCTGTCTGATCGTCTCTTCGCTGGTTTCCATCATTAGATTCCTGACATACAAGATCTTCACTGTTTCCATCACGTCTTCGTCTACATCAATCTCTGGCTCTGCCCAGTCCACTGCAATCTGGTGGCCCCACAGCTGAATGCGTCCAGGCATCAGCTTCCTGCGAGCCATGGCTGCTGCACGATGTGACTCATACTCTACGAAGGCAAAGCCACGGTTCTTCATCTTGTCTGCAGCGCTGGCATAAACTATCACATCTAATACGCCTTCTGTCACCTTGGAGACCTCTTCCAGGATCTCCTCACGTTTCTTGGTCTTGGGAATGCCACCAATGAAAAGACGGCAGTTGTCCACTGAGGAGCAGACACCCAGCAGCCGCCCAGGCCGCACTTCATAGTTATTCAGCTCCCGCACGGCTCTCTTGGCCTCGTGTTTCTCTGTGTACATTACAAAAGCGTACCCTCGATTTTTCCCATCAAAGTCCATCATCAGGCGCATCTCATAGATGCGTCCTACGGACTCAAACACTGGGACCAACTCATCTTCATAAACATCCCGCGGAATCTTTCCGACAAAGATCTCACAGCCTCGAGGAGGAGATGCACCATTCCAACCGGGAGGGGGACCGTACTTTCGCTGACCATTTTCCTGGACCATACTGTAGCCAGTACGCTCCATCAGGGCCACCAGTGAGGCCTCATTCGGTGCACCAGCAACACCCTCAGGGATGTTGAGCTGTCCATGGTGAGAGTGATGGGCACCAGAGGATTTGGAGGGGGCAACGTTGTTACTCATGGTCGAAGAAGAAGCAGGATCTTCAGCTGTCATTCTGACAAAACCATCCAATCAGATCAGGGCCTGAAGGAGGATAAGAGAGAGATCTGTCAAATTATACTGAATTAAATGGCTGCTGTAAAGACAGAGGAAAAAAATACAGCGGGAAGAAAATAGGCTGAGGATCAGAAGACATCATTTAAACAACAGTGACTGATTGCTGACTTTGAGCACAATTTGCATGCATGCAAGATTACCTGACTAAAACAAACCAGCACACATTACGAGGCCTGAACACCACAGTGGAAATACAGCATCCATAAATCCTCAGGGCGCCTTCCCCTATCAGTGGTTTTACAACCTTGTTTTGTTGAGTAACTCAGATCGCTTGCTGACCTCTGACCCCTATCAGACAGATTGAAGGGCTGTAAACCCTGAAACCTCCAGCTCAAGGTTCACCAAGTATGACTAGGTCACATGCTCAGTGCATGTGTGTTTGTGGTGCGCTTGTGTGTAAAAAGTCAGCGAGGACTTAAGCTATATAAGGAATTTTGTGTAACATAAACCCTGTTATGTGACAAAAGGCTGCACACATTCATCTTTGCTACACACAAGCCTCCTGTGTGCACGCTCACCACGTGGCGGTGTTGGATTTTCCATCTCCTTATCAATATGAATGCCATACAGAGTGTGGGTGCAGCTATTAGTGTGTGCACATGTGTGTTTCAGTGTGTCCTCATTAAGTAGTGCAGCCCTAAAAAAGGAACAGAGAACAATCAGAAATCGGCTTCCCGAACATAAACCTCTTACTCTGTTATTTTCCAACACAGCCGGCATTCAGAATGGAAAAATCCACAGGTTTTTAAATCCCCCAAATCATGCTGCATAAAATAGTAAGCAACCAATCAGAACAGACTATAACACTAATTTGATGTGACTCGGTATCATGTAAAAACATATAGGCCAAAAAAACAAATACTCGCTACTTAGGCTTTGCTTGGGTTTCTTTGTGCAGCACAAGATTGCCTGGACTAGGATGGAGATAGGTGAGGCAGTCAACAAAGGCAAAACACTAAAAAGCCAAGCAACCATGGTAACCTGCACACTGATCTGACCTGACCCAACATCCCACTCTCCTACAAACAAACCTGTTCACATGTCACTTTGTCCAAGGCTGAATGAGGGGCTTAGAATGACTGGTTCAAACATGGATGATAGTACAAAAAAGGAAGGAAGCTTTAAATGTCTTTTTTAAACAAAGCACAAACTCCCAAACGGTTAGGAAAAGGAAAAGGAAATCACCAAGTGTGGAAAAATAATAATAAAATCCTCCTTTATCTTTTGCCAGTAGTTCACCACTGGTTGCTGAATCCCGACGAAGGTCAAGATGACATTCATTTATATCTGCTTTTCCAAAATAGTTTTCCAAGAATGGGTCATGGACCTGTTCTTGGGTAAAACTAAGGACAATGTGTGTATTCTAGCTCAGGAAGCAAAACCTTTGAGCATTTAACTGGCCTGCCTATCAGCACACGGGTCTTACTAAGAAATCATGCCGAAGCCTTCCGGGTTGTATCCACAGGTTCAAATTTTTCTGCGGTGCGTGGATTGTCTGAGGTTAATGTTAGAATTCGTATGTCGTGCAAATTCAATGGAAGGTTTCTAGGAGCTGTTGTTGTTGGGAGGTGCTTTTTAAACTAGGCTGCCAAACAGACACTGTCACCTTCAAACTAACTCATACTTGGAAGTATGTCTCTGCTTCCAGTTTGAGACACACTTTTTCAAGTTTTCCTACCACTCAGCTAGCAGCTCTTTGGGGTTGGGGTCCTCTATGCAAAAACTACAAGTAGCTGCAATCTGCTAAAGACCAAAGCAATCACAACTAGGTTTTTTGGTGCAGCACCATGTTTTTGACCAGTATGACTTACTGACAGCTAACAGCCACTCACCGTGTGGGGAATACACATTTTTCCAAGTTTGACCAAGTTGTAACACATCAAATGTGGCGAACAACTGTCCAGCAATGTATGCAATGTACCTCAGTAAGACCCCTCTATAGGCTAATGTTAGTCTATAGAAGACAACTTTTTTGTTTAAATATATTTTTTCCTGTGAAGATCAACAGGAAAGCAGAGGAAAAAAGGGCCACGGGTCAGACCCGAACTCCAGCCAGCCGCTTTCAGTATTGTGGCATATGGTTGCCTGCTCATCCAACTGAGCTAAACTGGCACCCGTATCAAAGGCAACCCTAACCCTTCACCTTAAGAAATAAAATCTTCTGCCAGTTGTAGACAAATTATTTTTTTAAGAAAAAAGGGGGATATAAAAATTAATCAGAAAGATGCCTTGTGGGTACATTACACCTGTGTTAATGTACGAAAAATAAAAGTGTCCTAAAATAGTTGCACATATCAGTACATATTTTATGAGGTGGTGAAAACTTGTGATAGTGTATTTTATATGCTTGGACACACTAACCACTACCTTACAGCTTCCTTTGCATGTAGTCTTGTGTTTTTAATCAGTGCAAAGTAATTATAAGGAGACGACAGACGTAAAATCACCCTCGGTAAATATGATTATTGATGGAATGTTCCTTTATGACAAAAAACCCCTAAATGTCTTACATGGTTTGTTGCACTTTATCAGTATTTTTTGTCACTTCACGTCCCTTTTTAGGGCTGCCACTGAAAACATTTATGAAAGTAGTTTGTTTTGGCATGCAAACAAACTATGCAGCGTATTCGTCATCTCTGCAGCTCATGACATTTTAATCTCTTCTATTTTTTGCTTCAGTATGGTTTTCTTTGTCTGCCCTCCCTCTGTTCCTTCTACCGTGTGAAGTGCTAACATGACTCGACCTCATATCAGCCTTATCTTACCAGGCTGATGACAAAAGGAGGACAATATTCACACTGGGAGTTCTGCTGGATGATAAAATGAAGCTTTGTAACACAGTGAGCTTGACACTTTGTGCACTGAAGCAGTTAGTATTAAAAAAAAACAACAAATTTAAATCATTCTTCCTGCTTTTCACCACTTCCTAGACATTCCTAACTTCCTCAGTGCTGATCGTGTCAGGAGTGAAGTGAAACTCTGTTGTAAAAATATGAGAATAATTTGCGTGAATTTGAGATCCTTTGTGTAGCACATGTACAACACAGCGTATTAAATGACAAAAAGCAGCTTGGGGAACATCTTCAGCATTCAATCCTGCATGTGTATAAGTGACAGAGAAAGGCAGAGTGGGGAGGAGGAGGAAACCTGAGGCTGAAACAGGTAGATAATTAACCAAGGTGAACACAAATCACAGCCTTTATTCACAGAGAGCATAAAGATTTACAGATGGTGTCTCATCCAGTAAAGACAAGGAGTTTGAAAAGTTATGACCACTTAGGTGTGGCTCACGTCTTCAGATTTGAGCCTCTTTGTTGGGGCATAACAGGAACAGCTAGTTACTTCGTTAAAAATAATCTACCTTGACATTAAGAGCTCAGAGTTCGCCTGGTCAAAGGTTACGAACTCAGAGCGGCGCAAGATAGAACGACTGGCAAGCGAACAAGCGAAGGAAGTTCAAGAGCGGGAATTTGTTTAGTTAACAGAGCAGAGCTATTCCCGTGAGATTGCTTGCTACGTTACGTTTATGATTGATAGAAGCACCTGATTCTCTGCATATTAACAGTGTGTTACTGGGGACTGAGTTGTTTTATGAGCGGACAGAGAGGCTTTTACAGAGTTCTTCAGGTCGTCATAAACACAGATTGACTTGCAAAATCCATCTTTTTTCTCAAAAGAGCAAGTGAGCATATAACATTTTGAATCTGTAGTCAGCTATGAAAAGGAAGGATATTGTATTATTTATGACTTTAGGATTTCTCTTATCAGAGGAATATGCATGTACAGAGGTCTGTACAGCGATCCAGAGCACTGATGAAATAGGCCTAAGAAGGCTGCCATCTTTAGCCACACACTCATGTAGACACGTGGAGGAAATTGATTCACAGTCCCCCCAGCAGCCCCCTAACAACAGCGTCGCAAGGCAGCAGAATAGGATCGTGGAAGCACCAGCGTTTAAATAAGCCTGAGTCCTGCTGCTTTATACATGCAACACAAACACCAGCCAGATAGCAACAGATGTGGTCTGTTAAGGTAAGTTTGAGGTAAGTCCTAAATAACTCAAATACTATTTAAACCATCCTTCAAAGACAGGTCCGTAGAGATAACTGCAACAACAATAATCAACGCATAGTCTCAAGTCACAAAAAGTTGTCATTCAAGGACAGTGAGCGCCTATCCAATCAAAGGGAGCTAGAGATACGGGGAAGTGAGAGTAAAACAGAGTAGAAATCTTGAGAAAGATCGTAGCAGAGGGATGGTGGTGGAAAAGAGAAGAGGAAGTAGAAGCAGAGAGTGGTCAGAGAGGAGGATATCTACCCCTGTTGCTTCACAGCGCTCCGCTGCTTGGCCGCCTGCTCTGGGAGTGTTAGTCCACCTCCATGAGAGACAGGTACAGCAGGGCACTGAGCACAGAGTCCAGCCTCCTCTACACTAAGACACACACACACACACTGACCCAAAGCTGCAAGCATGAGAGCTGATGAGGGTGGAGCTAAAACAGGTACTTGAGTTTGTGTGTGTCTGTGTGTACATGTGGATGAATCTCATCTTTACTTTTACTGTTATTTCATACACACACAAGCACGTTAACAAAATTTACTCATACATAGAGCAGTATTTATATTTCACACACCTATATACTGACACTGTGGAAAATATAATTGATGCTGTAATCTCCTTTTCAGACTTTCCATGTACAAATGACATGATTGAACCAGTAATTTTAATTTATCTGCTTACTTAAAGACAAATAAACTGTCAGTGTTCACCAGCCAAGAGAAGCATGCCACTAAGTGACATTACAACCAAGGCCTCGGTCACCCAGACCTAGAGACCTGTTTGCAACCACCTGGCAACCATTGGTCACTAGGGAAAAATATATTGCCAAACCGGTTGGCAAGTGGTTGCTGCCAATCGTCAGGTGAAAGTGGTCACAAAGAGGTGCACAGTCCTGCTCCAAAGCCTCT